TGTGTGTGTGTGTGTGTGTGTGTGTGTGTGTGTGTGTGTATGTGTGTGTGTGTGTGTGTGCGTGTGTATTAATGAATATATAGAAATATGCCCGCAAACGCTCACATAGAAACATTGTGGGTGCTCACTCAAGCACCGATCGAATGCACTCAAGCTCATTGATCATGCAATCATTCCCGTTGTTGGATGCGTCTATAACTATGCACGCTTCAATTTATCCACTTAACGGGTAAACTGGTACTCCATCGGCACATGTGCGGTAGCGCGTAGGGCTATACCTCGTTTAGCACATAGCTGTTTTGCATAGTTGACTTAGGGATATGACCTTCACAGGCAAGGAATTACACAGGGTATCACATCAGAATGTGAGGTTACAATCACACGTATATTTAGTATATATGGATGTACATCTACCATCACAGAAGAACATCAAGGATACAATCATACATACGCTTAGTACATATAAATACGCATCTACCATCACAGAAGAACATCAAGGATACAATCATACCTACGCTTAGTACATATAAATACGCATCTACCATCACAGAAGAACATCAAGGATACAATCATACATACGCTTAGTACATATAAATACGCATCTACCATCACAGAAGAACATCAAGGATACAATCATACATACGCTTAGTACATATACATACGCATCTACCATCACAGAAGAACATAAAGGATACAATCATACATACGCTTAGTACATATAGATACGCATCTACCATCACAGAAGAACATCAAGGATACAATCATACATACGCTTAGTACACAGAAAGGATACACGGATAAGACCCATACGCATGTATTCCCCACACTTCGATTGTTTGGGTCATACCCCATACCTCGCTCGGCCCGCAGTCGCTCGCGTAGTCGACTGGGAGACATGACTTTCATATTGTCTACACTCCCGTGCGATGCCAATTCCTGCGCCCGTGACTTCTGCCTGTCATCGAGACGGTCGGCCGCCTGTTGCTCGTCTCTCTGTTTCTGCACAATTAATTCACAATAATTGGCATTAGTTCGCATTGATTCGGGCTGGTTCGGACTCATGCGGGTGTTAGTTCCACAAAAGTGTTGGATAGGCAAGTGCTAGAGGTGCTTGTACTGACTTGCAGAGGCGCACAACAACGCAAATTATCAGCGCTACACACATACACATACATATATATATATATATATATATAACTACAAATACCAATACGTAACCATAAGTTAATATACATTCAAGCCGTCTCAGTGTAAATAAATTTCTACAATAGAAAAGTACCCCAGAAAAAAACACACGCATACACACTGAGCAAGCATCTACAAGCATAACTCTCTCGCCATCCAGCGCATTTATGAGGCAACCTCAATGAGAGCTTGACATAGTTACAGCAAACAACACACGCATACACACTGAAGAAAGTATCTACAAGTATAACCCCATTCGCCATTCACAACATCTGTGAGACAGCCAAATGAGAGCATGTCATATCTACAGCTTGTACAGCGAACATTTGCCCAGAACCCTCACACAGCAGTACTTTACACCACAAACCTAAACCTAAAACCTAACTCCTGATACAGCGAAACTAAAAACAACTTAGGTCCCAAACCTAACCCCTTAAACCATATGACCCAAGAAGGCACATACTTGTCCTACAGCCAGGGCCAAACTTTGTGCATTGGTCAACGGTGTGCTCTGAGGGGTGAGTATCTCGTAATGATTCTCCATCAAGACCTATGAGAAACAAGAAAGGAGCGTAAATACACCGCTTACAGATATATTTAAACCTGAACCTACTGACAAGCCTTAAGATAATATCAACATGCGTGTTCGTACCGAATACAAACGTATATATATCT